GCTCCCCCAGCTGCAGCCCAACTAACACCATTGATCTCCATCATAAATCAACCCCAAACACAAGGATGAACTTGCCTGGCACAGAGTCCTGCCTCCAGATGGGAAGGGACCAGCAGCGGCTTCGGAATCATCTGTGAGCATTTGCAGCAGATTTTTTGGGCATCACTTGCAGCCACCTGCCTTCCATCGATGACAGACTTCTCCTAGAGCAGAGGTTTGACTCTAAATTATTCTTCTTTGGTGACTTAAATCCATGCATCCTCAGAGCAGACCCTGGCTGAGCTGGCACAGATTGTGCGGTGGGATGATGACTTCCTTACTTATTTTCCAGATTTTTACAAGGAACAGTTAATCAGCTACCCCTGGGCTGTGTAACAGGATGGGTTTATCTGCATGTTTCCTAATGAGTTCATTAGAAGAAGGGATTTCCGTGTGCTGCAGGGTATGTGAGATGCCACTCTACTGTGTCATGTGGGCAACAAAGCCCAGGGTGGGGGTCTGGGCTGGCATCCTCGGCCTGGAAACTGGCCAGAGGCAACCAGTGACACTAGCAGAGAGCCAAGATCATCTACTATGTTTACAGCTTCTCTAAGCTTCCATTCATAAACCTAAACTTGCCTTGGTGCTGGTCACCAAAAAGCACCAGCCCCATGTTCCAGTGTGCAAGTCGATGCTCAAGTCCAAGTGAAAATCATGAAGACCAACCCAACCAGCACCCACCACTGCAGTGATGGAGTCTCATCTCCTGAAGAGACACTTGAGGTTCTCCTAGTGCAGGTCTTGCTTCAGTTTGGTGTTCACCATGGGCTGGTTCCTACCCTGCACCCCAAGCTGAACCCCACAGAACAGAACTAGAAGCTTTAAGAATTAACAATTTCAACATCTGATTATTTAGCAACTTTTTTTTTAGCTTATTTAGCTACAAAGTCCTGCATTAGTCACTTCCAGCTCAATCCTTTTGCCTCAACCACACTAAAACCCCGTGCAGATACCACAGCTCCTTAAAACCCCAGATTGCAATCTTGGTAAGGATTACTCACCATTCATCTTTTCAAGGGAATAAATTTAGTTTGATGGGTTTCCTTACAATTACTGCCTCATCCTGCATAAACAAGAAAGAACATGAGGCTCTCCTCTGGGAAGAGGATGGGCATTCCAGCTGCTTGCCTTCCCTGCGCTCTCTAGAGTGGAAGGGGCTTCTTTCAACAGTGTGCATTGCTAACTTGGAAGAGGAATAGGGAATAGTTATATTTAAGTTAATAATTATAATTAATAATAATAGTCCTAACTCAATTTAAATAATACAAGAAAGGGGACACCAGTCACTGAGTGTCAAGCAGCGCACGTTAATGTGGAAAGAAGAAAAAGCTCTGTATTTTCACCAAATTCCTCTTCTGATCTCTCTGTAAATGGTTATGAGTAGCGAGGTAATGCTGTCAGCTGTTCTCCTGATCCCCTGCTCCTCCCTCCAGGATGAAACCAGAGCAGATCTCCTGTGTCTGGAGCCACTGGGAGGCACGACCAGATCCCAACCACTCCAAAGCAATGGAGCCTGTGCTGCACAGGGCGCACCAGGCAAGGTTAGGTAAGACAAGACAGTGTTTGCACCGAGTCTATCATCTTTGCAATAAAACTTTTGGAGCATTTATGAGCTTACACAAACACACAGAGCGTGGCACACCCTGAGGAAGCTGCCAGCCCTTAAAGGCTTCTAAACAAACACGTACGTTCCCTTTGTGGCAAGGTATTGGAGGAGAGACAATCACATCCTCTTCCTTTCAAGTAAAACACCTTCAAAACTCCAGTAACAGAGGGTCCCACTGGAATGAAATAACAGCCAAACAAACCAGAACTAGCCCAGTGTAATTGTTTCCAGGCATCACAATGTGCTAAGTACCCTTTCAACTATTAAAACCCCACCTTAATAAATTAAGTGCCATCTCTGCTACAATGCTTGAGAATGGCTTTTGGAGAACACATTTGCTTTTACTTGGCTTCCCTGCAGGTGTTCACAGCCTATGTATGTGGCAAGAGAGGGAGGGTGGGACTTTCCCAAGTGCTTGGGAAGAAGTAAGTCCCTCACCAGGTCCTAGATTTATGGCCCTTATACTATGAGCTATAGCCATACAGTATGTATAAACCTCTGCTTTTGACATCAATTATTCACTTTAGAGGTCATCAGCCACCAAACCTGATCTCAGCCTGTTAGCAGTGTCAGTGGAGCACCAAACAAGATACTGGGATGCTCCAGAACAATCCTAATGAGGTCAGTGAATGCCAAAGGACAGGAATCTCAATTAGATACTACAAGCCCACTTTGCAGCCTTACAAAAAACATAAAGAAGTGACATAACCTAATAATGCGTTAAGTCTCACTGAATTTATACATCGGCTTTCACTTTCAAGTTGGTTCTGCACTCCTCCTGGATCATAAGGTCAGTTCACCACCACTGATTGAATTCCCAGTTTGCCTGCAATTAGGAGGGTAGGGAGCACAGCGAATATACTGCGACTGTCTCAGTAAGAAATAGAGAGAAATGTATTAAAACTGACAACAAATTCATTATTATTGAGTCTAGAACTGTGTTATAAAATCAGGACCTCCTCACTGTACACACACCCACAGCCAAAAAAAAAATTACCAAGCAAAACTGCATGGGATGGAACTGAGCTACAGAAACAAAGTGACCTGGCCCTGCAGAAGAGCACATCTAAGCCTGGCTGTCCTCCCTGATCCCTGTGCCACGTTACTCAAACGGGGCCGTGGTCATTGGCTATAGAGTCAGAAAGGACATAGAATTTGTTATTTTCATATTTCGTGTAACACAGCAAAACAACAGATTGCCATCAGTCCCTTTCCCACTGCCTCACCCTACGCTGACATCTGCCTTTCTGCTGAGACTGTAGCTGGGGTATGTTCCCTTCACCAAGGAAATCACACGTTCCCTTCTGCAAGTCTCAACATGCCAACGTGCTAGAATGCAAGAGACCTTGTTCAGAAGAGGACTTTAACACTTTAGCTAACATTTAAAATACCACGTGTTTTCTAGTTTGACTTAAGCACAAATAAAACTTACTTAAAGATAAAATACAGGAACAACCAAAGCCCATCTCTCCGTTAAGGTGGGCACCATGACACCGACACGATGTCCCTGATCTTCAGGTAAAGGGTACAGAGACATTCCAGCAGAGGTGGTGCAAGCCCTGATGTTCAGAGACAACCCTCTAGTCACACTCAGGTTTCAGCTCAGTCAATAACTACAGGAGAAAAAATATTTCATCTTGCTCAGAACAAAGGTAAACAGTTACTTAAGCACAAAAGCAAACATCTGCCCGAGCACACATTCCTCCGAGGTGTCGAGGAGCACAATTCCCTCCTGCCCCGTTCCCTCGATGGCTGTGGAACAGAGGAGCCCCACAGTGATGGATTTGCAGGTGCCCACACAGGAACAAAGCCCCACAGACCAGCCAGGTGTGCGCCTTCCCCTTTGGTTCAGTAAAGGAAATACTTCTGCCTTTTTCTCCCAGGGAACGAGGCTTGGCCGTGGTTTCTTTCCACATGAAAAGCACACCGGGCCGTGAACCCCTCCTAGTGAGTTTTACACGTTAAGCAGAGCAATTAAACAAAACCCAGAAAGCGTAAGATTCGTAAGAATCTTCTGGGCTAAACCCCATCGGAAATCCAAAACCAGACAGAAATGGAAATACAACCTTTCAGGGAATAAATTAAGCAGGAGGCATTTTATGCATGAGGTCCTTCTGGGGGGAAGCAGTAATCACAGGATTGCAAAAAGAGGGGCCATTCTTAGCTATTATAAATAAAAACAAAGCACCTCCGGCAACTTTTTCTCCAGAATACACAGTCAGGCTGCCCAAAGAAAAGACCATACATTTTTTTCAGCTGCCTCTCAAGAAGAATGCTTTAAAGGAATTTGGGATATTTATTTATACAAAGCCCAAGCTCAGAAAGGGCTGAGTTGGTGCCTCTGTGCAAGCCTGCTTCTAAAAATAGCACTTCTGTTAATAGCAGGTCAGCGATTAGGAGAAACAGGTTCTGATGGTCTTTACTGAATCATCACACAGAGCGCAGAAAGGAAACCTGAATTTCATTCATTTTACAAGGAAGGCTCTGTCACCCTGGAGATTACGGACAGACTGGAAGTGGAATAGAATCACTTCTGATATTGATCGATGCCTAAATTCAAGTTTCCTTTCTGTGCAGCCTCTGCTTTGCCTCCTCCTCACCCACCTGTGGCAGTCCCTGCCAGGAGCCAGGCACCTCCTTCCCTCCTTCCACACCACCTCCGGGGCAGTCACTGCGCCAGACAAAGTCTCCAATTATACTGACACTGTCACAGACACAAAGAACAGCTCCACATGCAGAAAAGGAATGTGATTTTGTATAATTTCTAATATAATTCAATTCTATGGCACCAGGGAGTGTTGGAGAAGGGCACCCAGGCTCCCTCTGCTGGCCAACACCGAAACTACTGCAGAAATGAGAGAGGGGAACCCGCTGGCAAAGGCACACAAAGCACAACAAGCTGATGTTTTACAGTTTTGCTGATGGACACACGCACGTTTTATATAAAGCCTGACCATTTCCTTCCCGGGGAAATGGGTCTTTGGAGATTTTTTGGAAACAAATTAATTATTTATCTTTGCTACAATAAAAACTTCAGCGAGCTCAATACTGCAGCCCAAACCGGACATTCTCTCCACAACAGCCTAAACAGGTGTCAAACTCTCATTCAAAATTCACGCGAAGGAAACACACCCCAAACCACCATAAAAACCCTCTCAGTCCCTCCTTCAGCCCAGCAATTCTCAGGATTTTTCTGTCAAAATCCTCAAATTCTTCAGCATTATTCTTCCAACAATTTGCTTATGGAAACCCATGAACTGTCTCAACCGTTCACACAACTACACAAGCACACAATAACATTAGAAAACTTATATATCAAACTCGGGCCACTATGGAATACAGTTCAAAAACCACATGTGAATGGCACTGCATTGGTTTTATTTTAAGTGTCTTTACACAGTGAGAGATGTAGGAATGCAAGTTGTTATACATTTTACACAAGATACATTGACGACGTTACTTGTGTTATAAAACTGTTTCTGAAGGTTTTCCACTTATTCCTACTTACAGCAACTTCTACAATAGGGTAGAAATTAAACAATTAACAAAATAGAAACACCACAGAAAATCCCAAATGGACTTCTGGAATTTTAAAAATACACAAGCCTGATGAACAACACAAGATTTTTTGTTGTGGGTTTTTTTTTTTTCTTTTTAGTAACATGGAACAGTGAGACAGAGAAGTCAGACTTTGAGTGATTTTAATACCTGAAGAGATACAGAAACATCATGCCCGTGGAGGCAAGATGAACAAAAACAATCTTCCTACCTTTTTAATATATACCATTCCTGCCTCTGGAACCAGGACCTGCCTGCAGGATCCCATTTTGCAACTGGAAGCTGGTGGCAGGAAGGGATCACGAGCTGGCACAAGACAGAGTTGAAAACTACCAAGCCCACGGCAAATTCATGCCCATTACTTTTTCTCTCCACCTTCAATCAACTGAAAACACTTCTGAAAATTCAATATGCACATCATGTAGGACTGAAACACACTAAAATGAATTTGAAAAAGGCCAATTCCTGAATGATTTACACATACGAATATCAGCAGCCTGGTTTGTTCACAAATAATTTTATTCTTTTAAATAGAAAAAAGAATAATCTGTCTAGACTAAAAAAGGTTGGTTATAAAATAGCGTAAAAGCATAGGAGCGTATGTCATTATACTGAAACATATCTTCCTCCTACTAAAACAATTAACACAAGATCACAAAATTAAGAGATCTGTATTTTAAAAGATGCATCCTGGTCTCCAAAGCAGCAGACGCTCTGTCAGACAGACAGGATGTCACACAGAAAAAGTCTGCATGAACAACAGCAAATGAGGCCTGAAACTGCATAAGCTGGCTAAGCCAGGCAACCCATTGTCTTAAAAAAATAGGAAACAGACTGGAGAAGTTTAGGAGCACAAGTTAAAAATTAACTCTAGATGTTTTATCTCCTAATATAACTTAGTCATAACATAACAGTCACTGAATTCATTTATAAACGTAGGCCATCTCTAGGACTGTAGAGCTACAAACGTCACCTTATTTTCAGAGAGGATCAGAGACAAACATTCAATAGCTGAATCTGCATTTCACTCTACGTATTGTCATTCACTCCTAATTAGGTGTCAGTGCAAACGACTGTACCTGTCAGTGTTCCACCACAGACAGCAGCAGCAGCAGCTGGGGACAGACCCAGACTCTGTCTTCTCAGGGGTCTGTGGCTCCTCCTCCTGCACTCTCTCTGCGTAGTTACCAAAACTACTTGAATTTAGCTCCATACGTGTATTTGTGCCTCATGTCAAATTAAAAACACATACTTGGTATATTTCTGAGAAAAGCAAAGATCTTCACCTCAGAAGATCACTAGCCGGGAGGAATTTTAGCATAAAGAATATTCATGTCAAATTAAAAACACATACTTGGTATATTTCTGAGAAAAGCAAAGATTGATCTTCACCTCAGAAGATCACTAGCTGGGAGGAATTTTAGCATAAAGAATACGTTTCACTTACATTTAACACTATATTAACTGGAAGCTGTTGTACCAGTACAGATCAGCTTTTAACTGCTATACAAGGAACTTTCTTGAATCCAATCGTGACAGGAAGTAAGAGATTATTTCAGCACTTGGTACATCACACTGTACAATATAAAGAAAAGGGTAACATCTTAAAAACCAAACAAACAAAAGAAGAAAAAAAAAAACCAAAACAAAAACCACAACCAGACTTCCTATTTTTCACTACTTCAAGTCAGGTGGATTTGCTACACTTGGGGGACTAGTCCCTAAAATTAAAGTGCTTTTCAGAGCATTGGCATCCAAAATTTTGAACATGAGAGACAACTACAAGTAAAAATCTGTTGTCGCTATACATAACATATAGCAGCAGTACAGACATCAACACATGTACTCATTAAGTGTCTGATTTTTTGATACTACCTTGAGCATCACACAATTTAACAGTGCATGGTACCCCCTACCTCCAGCGTACAATCAAACGCTTTAGACTCATTCAGGATCGTCGCGGGCGGCTCCGGACGCCGTGTCTGCATGATCTTCTGTTTGGGGTTTTTTATTTCATCTTCCTCTTCTGTCTCACTTTCACAGACGTGGACAACGACACTGGGAGTTGATTCTGTTCCTGCATGAAGCTCGTACTTTTCCCCTGAAGAGCAGCAAACAAAAATCATGTTAAGAACAGCCCCAAGGAAAAGCATTAAGCCACTTTATCTCAAAAGCTCCTTAGTATCTGCAGTAACACAATTAAACATTCATTTACTGCCATCTGTCCTGGTTTCAGCTGGGAAAGTGTTAATTTTGTTTCTAGTGACTGCTGTGAAAGGAATGTCAATATTACCTGCTGGGCTCAGGTGTTGCTAAGTGATATTTACACTATTTAAGGACTTTTTCTTCAGCTTCCCATAGAAGAACAGACAGAATGATGGAATGAAATATTCCATACCATAGATGTCACGCTCAGTATAACTGGGGGGTGGGAATCCTCTTCTTGTTTGCTACTTAATACTGAGACTGTGACAAAATTCAATAAATGGATGTGATGCAGCTAGTACCACACCATCCACTTCTGTGCTATACTTTCAATCAATTAACCAATTAAGTAAAATAATGAAGCATTTGATTCAAGTAAGAAACACCACATAAGACAGACTCAGTTTTTCGCACAGGAAGAAAAGGTAAGTAGATAAATTCCCTCGATAACTGTTTTTGAAGTTAAGCAACTCAAAAAAAGCAGGTAAACGTTCCTACCTGGTCCCAGCTTGGAGACAGCACAAAGCAAGTCGTAGTTTATCAGGGGAGTTGCATCTTCACTCTGTTTCCATCCAACTGGAGGAGATGCAGGTGGTGATATCAGGAACTGCTTAACGGGTTGTGGAGGAAGGAGGTAGGACTTGTCACCTATTTCATTGGATACGTGTACCTGAAGGCAAAAGCCAAGAAATACAGAATAAGACAACAAACATTAATTCTCTTTTTATTTAGTCTACTTCTCCATTAATACATTCCCATTCTCTGCATTAGCAATGCTTAATTCAGCCTAGTTTTAAAAAATAAAGTAGTACAGCTTTTGTCATTTCTTGGTATGACACCCTGGAGAAATGCTGCAGGGAAGAAAGTGGCCTCTGTAGGTGCTGACAACGCAGCTCTATATGAGACATGCAACTGCTAATCCAGCAAGAAGAATAAGCCTATAAAGCACCTATTATAAAGAGATCTTTGCACCCACTTATTTTCTTTCTGCACATTCCTGTTTCTGTATGGGGGAAGGTGGTTGGTGTCACTACACAGGGACTGTTCCACACCTGTCACAACTTTCTAAGCTCAAGCTGAAAATCAGAATTGTGCCCAAAAGCATGAATTTCTCAACGAGTGAAAATAATACATCCGAGTGTAGAAGAAGGAGGCTGAAGGTAACTTCCAATATTTACCACGAATTAAATTCATGGGCAAACATGGAATAAAGAAGAAACAGGGACACACGTACAACATGTTATTGTTCCATAATACCTGTGCAAAGTACAGCTTCAGCTTTTTTCCATTGAAGTCCGTTTCATGCAGCTCTATCCGTGCTCTTGCTGCCGCCTCCGGATTGCTGAAGTTTATCCTTACTCTTCTAAAGCTTTTAAACAACTGGAATGTAACTTGATTATCGTAGACTGTGAAGAGTGCTTCAAATCTTTCCTAGAGACGAAGTACAAAGATTCTCCAAACACAAAATGAACATTTTCACTCAATGAAAACACACTTCCCTTTCACTTTCCTCTCCCAAATCCCATTCATTTCTTTAATTGCCCAAACCTGCACGTACCATGCTTCCCTCAGCTACCCCAGTTTGTAAATCTGTATTTGGTGTAGCACTTCTTTGTCTCACCATTTAAATCTGAATTCCAGGAGCACATTGATGTGAACCAGCCTATAAACTCTTAATACACAACCTGCCACCTAGCGACAGTTACTCAGTGCACACCTCAACAAAAACACCGGTACTTGCACGTGACTTTCACCCCAGCAGCTCCAAAAATAATATGCAAATCAGGTTTTATTTTAGATAAACTGAAGTACTGAGTGCTTAAGGAAAATGTCTGAATTCTCAGGATGAATGAATAAGACGACTTTGGAAGACACAAAAATCTATTCTTACTAAGCAAGAAATAGAACAGAAATAAAAGCGTACTATGTTTTGATAATACTCTGTTATTCAGAGAGATTTACACAAGCAAATAAGCAGAAAAGGAATATTTGTTCGTTAAGAACTCTTTTCAATGACAATAGCTAATTTGCTTGATACCAATAGACACTGATCTCTTTACAAAAATCCTGTTGATGCCTTCATTCCTCTAAAAATAATTACAGGATGAGAGGCTTTCATTTTAAACAGGACTGAAGAAATTCTTCAGATGATGCCCATGTTAGTTTTAACAAAAATATTATTTTACTGTGCAATTCTCTCCAATCTGTAGAATGTCAAGGTGAACATTAGAGAAACACACAATACATACTTTCACTCTGAGTTTTTCACCTTTTGCTGTTTGGACTTAAAAAAACACTTTTATATGCTACGTAAAAGACAAAATTATTAAAGTATGTGTGCCAACTTAGACATCTTATAGTTTTTCTGTAAATATTCCGTGTATTTAACTAAAACACTTAAACAAAAGTGGAAACTGAGAGCATTAAATTCAACAACTTCACAGTCAATTCAACACGAATTATTAATGCCTAAGTGTTGCTTTAACAAATCACCAGTAAAACCAAAACATAGCTAGAAAACATCCAAAAAATGGAAGAAAGAATTAGGGCAGAAATAGAAGCTGAGCAAACTGCTTCCTACGAATTAAATACACAGATTTCAAGTCAATAGTGTCTTTTTAGCCTTTTTTCCTCATCAGAATATTAATCATCACTGACTTACGTGAGGTTTCATAAATGAAAATGCTGAGCACAAAGTATTTGTGCCTACGTACAGAACCAGGCAATGGATTTTTTACAAGTTCTGACTACTACAAAATCAGGGAAGAGGGAGATTGATTCTCATAGTCTGCCTTAAGTGCTGCCAGTTTTGCCAGCGTTACCAAATCAACTCACAGAACATTGTGTAGCAAAACTGTGAGTGCCACCAACACCCTCCTTGTGTCCCCCCACACCAAAGCCAAAACCACCAAAAATATTCAAATTGCTTTCTGTTTGTGCACACACAGCACGATTTCCATTGGTTTCATTAAGTGTCTGCTGCATATTCAGCCTTTGAAAGAAGATGTAGGCAGAAATAAATCAAGCCATTGAAATCAGCACGATTTCCATTGGTTTCATTAAGTGTTTGCTGTGTGTTCAGCCTTTAAAAGAAGATGTAAATCAAGCCATTGAAATATGTGTCCAGTGGCTGAGTAAGTTCAATTTCACACAACAGATAAAAGCCATTTAATATATCAAAGCACCTCTACGCTTCCAAGCACTATAAAGAAGTTTGCATAGTAAGCATTCAATTTATAGATATAATAAGTATAGGTATCTTATATATTACAGAGCTTTTGTAAACCGAAACTGAAGAAGCCACAGACCAAAGCTCTCACATCAGCCCCTCCGATATTCCCTTTCCCATATAGTATACATAATTATTCCCCACGCTCTTGGAAGCAAAGGGAAAGCACAGATTTGACTGAATGCAAATGTTAACAAGCCAGAGAAGATTTAGTTTATTATAAGGCCTTTATAAGCCACTTTCAAGGTGTTCAAGTCAGAACACACATCCTGTGAATTCATAATACTCTTTTAACAGAATCCTCGCCTCAAATAAAACATTTAAATTTGCTTTCAGATTTTATTTAAATCTGCCCTTAGATTTGGTACCTTGGATAAAGATGGGCTGAATGCAAATGTTAACAAGCCAGAGAAGATTTAGTTTATTATAAGGCCTTTATAAGCCACTTTCAAGGTGTTCAAGTCAGAACACACATCCTGTGAATTCATAATACTCTTTGAACAGAATCCTCGCCTCAAATAAAACATTTAAATTTGCTTTCAGATTTTATTTAAATCTGCCCTTAGATTTGGTCCCTTGGATAAAGAGGGGAAAAAAAAAATCAGAAGAGCTTTTCACAGGAGAAGTACTGTATATCCATTAACGATTTCAAATGCCTGAAAAGTGTAGTATTTTCTGCTCTTTGGTAACTGTACTCACTCCAACCTGAGCTTACCAGGTAAGTACTTTGGGTTGTTTCCTCCCTATTATAATAAGCAGTAATAAACTGAAAATCCAGACAAAAATGTTCAATAGCTGTACCTATACTTAGAATATTACACCCCAAATATGCCTGTCTCTACCTTACCTTTTCTTCCTGTACCTCAAACACAGCTTCATGAACACTGCAAGCAAAGAGTGAGGTAGGCAAGTCACTTAAATCCATCATCTCTTCCAAATCATCTTCATTTTCTCCAAAAATCATCTGTTCTTCCTCTTCTTGGTCACTGCTGTAGAGGTCTGACTGGCTGTCACTCCAGGACTTCATTGTGTCTCTGAGCATTGTTCACCCAAAGCAACTCTACTTTACGTTCCAGTTTCCAGTAGGGGTCTGTCATTCCAAAAAAACAAACAAAACAGAATGTGAAGACAACACATCTTCTTGCTTTTACTCTTCTTTAGAGCAAATAATTTTACAAATTATTTGCTCTATTTACAAAAATTATTTGCTCTATTATTTGCTCTATTTACAAAAAACATAGAAATCAAAATGAAACTTGTTCTCATCCACAGAACAGAAGCATCATATCCCATTTCTGTACATGGGATAAAGATTCTGGTGTTCAATCTATGAAAAGGAAGTCACTCAGTCAAGTAAATGAAATTTCTCCTCCCTTTACTCTGACATAAATCAAGAATTACAATATTGTTCTAGAAGCTTTTCTCTATGACACGCTTTCCAGTTAATAGCAATTTCTTATTAAATAAGTTAAAAGCATTTCCCAAGTAATCAGAGAAGTCTTCTAATATTTGAAGAAATATCTTTATTACATGTATTCAGCAAAGTTAAAGCATCTGTCCAAAGCCCCTCCAAGCCAGTGGCAGATACAGGAACAAAACCCAAGATCTCCTGAATTGAGGACATCTCCTTCTCCTGAGCACCGGAGAATGTAATATCTTTATTACATGTATTCAGCAAAGTTAAAGCATCTGTCCAAAGCCTCTCCAAGCCAGTGGCAGACACAGGAACAAAACCCAAGATCTCCTGAAGTGAGGACATCTCCTTCTCCTGAGCACCAGAGAATGCCTTTCCCATAGGTAAGAGTATCTACAGCCTTGAGTAAACATGTCAAGGAAGAGAAAAAAAAAGTAACAAACTAGTTTTTACACAATAAAAAAGATTTTTAGCACAGTACTGCACATTCTAATGTAAATGATAGAAAACATGTCACTGTACTGTATCTAGATTCAAAGGGGTTGTTAATTTGTGACATAACACTAAAAGAAAGGTAAGTAAATATATTATGTTTCATTGGCAATTATCTCATTTGAATATTTGCTTAACTAGCTTATTCTTTTCAAGTAGTCACTGAGAAATTACATCAGCCGAAACCAATATGGATTTAAAAAACCCTCATAAATCCATGCTTACTCATGGGAAAAGGCTTAAGACAAGTTTTCTAATTAACAACACCCAAACACTCTCAACACTTTGTACTTAAGGAGAAATAGCTCCTGAAATGAGAAAAAATAAAAAGAAAAAAGATTTAATATCTATTTTAAGTATTTACAGACTGCTTATGAGACACACACACATGCAAAAGGTGTGATGTTACGTTAAATGAGTTAAATCAATGTAACCTCAGTGTGGACACCTAAAAGCTGTCTGAAGCCCTGTGTGCACATGGACCTGCTCCACTTCACTGTCACAATTTCACTCAAACCATTACAAAGTCATTCACAGACCTGCCTAAATTTTCCCAACAGAGCAAATTTCAAAATTTTCACAGGAAATGCTCCTGAGCATCACAGAAAGCGGGATGTAAATGCAAGAAAACATGTAGCTGCTGGAAAACTAATATTTTGTGCTCACTGATTCATGCAAAAAGGAAAAGAAAATACGCCAACACAGTAAAAACAAAAGCTACCATCTGGCTTGGCAGCACAGTCTGCAGGAGAGTTCTGGGTTGATCAACCCAACATGCAAGAAGACACAAGCTGAGCCACTTGCAGACAGAATTGAGAGCAACATGACAGCCTTGTCCCAGCTTTGGTCCTACCTCCCCAAGCTTCCACATCAGTGGGGAGTAGGGAGGACAATAAGAAACACCTAACCCACACGCGTCTGCTCCAAAAACCTGCTTTTCAGACCAATCAAAGAACGAGGAGACTTACAAACAAGGCAAGAGAGCAAAAGTGGCACAGAATAAGGAGAGTTCGGCAACGCCAGCATGTAAATTCAATGACTTAAATTAGCAGTAAGAGAGGAAGTGAAGTAACACACAGATCAACACAGAATTCGGTCAAGGTAAATTCAATGACTTAAATTAGCAGTAAGACAGGAAGTAAGGTAACACACAGATCAACACAGAATTTGGCCGTGTTACCAAAAGCTTTAAAAAGTTGAGGCTGTTTGAGCCTCACACACTACAAAATGAAGTCAACAAAGCAGACTGGAGGGAGGCAAAAGCATCAAGAAAATATGATTAATGGAGTGCACAATTACTGTGACTTACACTGCCTGCAGTAGTGCTCCTCTCTTCATTCTGTTAGTACTGTGGAATCAGACATCACAATTAAAATGAGAGAGAATTTAATCCATAGATTATCAACTGAATCCATGATTCCTCCTTTAAAGTTGTTATCATCTATTATGTCATTTAAGGAGCTGCAATCTGCACACTACACACTGCAGTGACCACAGACATGTTCCTCCCTTGGGTAGGTTAGTACAGAGGAACAGCACTTCAAACAAAATGAGCAAAGAGATGGACAAAATGAAGGCAGATCTGGGGGTTTATTTATACAAATGAGATGCCTGAACTCTGTATTTCTGGCTAATATTCTGTACAACGAGACTTTGCATAGTCTCCTTGATTGCAAACAATCTTTTCTACACCAATGAGAAAAGCATGCAAATATCTGCTTGAAAATAAAACCTGAAATTGTTAAAAAGAGCAATTAAAGGCACTTTCTAAAACACCAATTTAAATACATAAAGAATGCACTGTGGAAAAAAAAAATAATCCCGGTTTTCCCATCTTATGCCAAATTTGGTTAAAGGAATTCAGAGAATTAAAATTAAGTTCAAAGTTCCAGCATGAGGAAGTTCCAAAACTCTGAAACTGTTGTTTTGTATTTTGAACAAAGATATCCATGTTATTTCCACGACTGTCTGGTACAACAGAATATGGCAATTTCGTAAATGAAAAGGTGACAACATACAGAAGATGGAGCAGTAAAAGGCAAGAATGATAGCCAGGTAAACAATACAAGTCAGGAAAGGTCTTTGCTAAATCAACTTGGGAACTGGAGAAGGATCAATAACAAACAACTGAAATGTTTGCAAACAAATGCCAGGAGCTCAGGTATCACAGAACACCACACACGCTGTAAGAGGGGATGGGAAGAAAAAAAGAGAAAAAAGCCACCGCAAAAGCCACAAGATCTAGCTTCTTTTATGATTTAATTTATGCAACATTAAATAATTCAAGTAACCTATGAAGTAGGCAGAGATAAAAGTGATGGCTACGAGGCCACTATGATTTTCACCATGCATGGACTGGTCAAGAGAAAATGTATTGTTAGCATCTAAACATTAAAGAAATTAAACTTGGGAGTTCCTGTATCTGTGGTCCTCTGTGTCCTGATTCATTTCATCCAGTTCCATGTGAAACAGGCAATGAACAGCTACCGTTATCTGCATTTCCCACCACCTTCAAAATGCACACAGATTTAAAGGACCCACCAAGGCAGGATTGCTCAGAAGCTGGGCTGAGCTGACAGCCCTGGTGACCGACCCTGCACTGTAGGCCTGTCCTCTGATCACCACAAAATATCCTCCCTGCAAACCTTTTACAGCAAAAATACCCTTGATACGAGGGAAATACTGCTTTTTGCTCAACAGCAAATTTGTGGTATTATGAAACACATCAAATTCTGCATAGGCATGTGTTACTGCCCAGAGGAGATGCTCTTCAGATTTGTAAAGAAGTTTAAGAATCCTGATGGAAAACAAACAAACCTGTCCAGGTACACTACATCCAGCTTTGCACAGAGCCAACAGCCTCGCTGGCTTCAAGTTTCATTATATGCACATTCATCATGCTGTAACATTTAAATACAGCAACAAAACCTTTTACTGCTAGATATTTTCTGCTCTGTAAAACGGCAGCGGATCTCCAATGATGTGTGTAAACGATACTGGAGAGCTGGGGCAATTGAAACATCCCCATTGCCGTGAAATAGATGGCATTTGTTTTCTCAACTACTAACAAAAATCGAATTACCAGGAATTATCTTGTTCCTTTAGAGAACAAGAGCAGATATTTGTACACTATTAAGCTGCAGAAGACAATGCAGTCATTCCCTTGAATTCCTACAAACAGTCTGCAGAGAAAGTGATTTAACAGAAGCAATTTTAGTCAAAGTTAAGGAAATATTTCAGCAAGAAGATCAACAGTTCTGTGTAATTTACAGTATGGCATTTCTTGCTAATACAAAAAATCTGAAAAGCTTCTGTAGAGAGCACTGAACTATATAAGCTATTTCAATTATGTTTTGTTTCTTTTTTTAAAAAAAAAAAAACAAGAATGCATCACAGTTCTATTTTTTAAAATCATAAACCTACATGATGAATTCTAGTTTTTTCACAGAATACTTGCTTTTCCTGACTTCACCAGATCAGTATCAAAACACCACAGTTACTGAGCAATGCAAGAATATGCAAGAGTTTCCCTGAAATAAGGATGAGACAGGTAAGGCTGATGTATGAATGTTAATTAAGAAGCATTGTTGGGAACAGTACTGGGAGAAGTGGTATTTTAACAGACTAGGCAGAACTATTTTATCACCCAATTATTAGAAAGCAATAAAATGAGAAGAAGAAATGCTCCAAGTTTGATACATACACCAATGAGATTATCGGTGCAACAGCCAAGCAGCTCTGCTTCAGTTCCCCTGTGCAACAAGGGAATTACTTCACTTACCTCCTTGGAATCTAAGAAACACCTATTTGTTAAATGGTCTGATGCAAATGAAAATATACTAATGCTGATTATTTATTACAAGCAGCTAGTTGTTACTGCAATAAACAATTTGGAATCATAAGGAAAATCGTTGTGTAGACAACTGACAATACTTGTTAGCAAGCTTTCTGATCACTTGCTCCCTCTTATATTTTAAAATTAAATGGCCTTACACAGCAGGACCAAAAGCATCCCAAGAACTAAAGCCACTTGGACAAGACCTTTTACTAAGTCCTTTGTTCTTCTGAGAATTAATACCTGCTGATCACTTAAACACCAGGTGACAGGCACCTCCGAAACACTCAAAAGCAAACTCTTCAACTTCATAAAAAGCTTAAGATCTTCTGAAATTGAAGCAAACTGTGGAAAGGCAGCTTCTGCCATTGAAAGCAGAGAATGTTCTCCATCAGAGCATCGGCACAGACACCGCTGGTGTTTTTACCTTTGCATCGCCTGGACCCGCTCTCCAGGCGCTGCTGAAACACAAACTGCTCGTTGACATTATCGCATCCTTCCCGAAAACCCCCCAATACTCACAAGGACTAGAAACGGCCCGGCGATTTCCACATAAACAGCCACATTTGCTCCGAGGAGTTTATAAAAACTCGGGCTCAACCCCGCAAACCCGCCGAGGGCAGAGCAGCCCTGGGCGAGCCGAGGGGCCGGGGGACCGACACCCAAGTTCAGAGCTCGCACAGGGAAAAAAAAAAACAAAACAACCCAATTTTTTCTATATATGCCCTAAAGAGCAACTCTTAAAGGAGAAAACAACTTCGCCGCCGGCAGCCTGGCTCGTCCAGGCCTCACCGACCCCGCTTCTGAGGCACCAGCGAGCCGCCACCGGGCCGGGCCGCCTCCCCTCCCCTCAGGACGGGACTCCGGGCGGAGGGGAGCCGGGAGGGGGAGCAACAGATGGCGGGCGGCGGGGCGCTGAGGGGAGGCAGGGGGAGCGCTCACCGTCTCTCCTCGGCGGGGGATCCCCTCGGTGGTGGTGGTGGTGGTGGCGGTGGCGGCGGGGCGGCGGCGGCGGAGGGGGTGTCGGTGACCCGGATGAAGGGGGGCTCTGCGCATGCGCCGGGCCCGTCCCCTCACGGAATGCGGACATCTCCTCACCCGCTCGCCGTGAACGGCCTCACCGCTTCTGGGGTGGGTTTCGGGGGTATTCAGCCTCACCCCCGGCGTCCTGGGGTCCTCACAGCGAAGGGCACGAAGCGTTTTGGGGAAACGAATGAGTGTTTTATACCTCGACGAGGCGATGAGCCATCACCGGCCTGGCCCAGTCCGGAGGAAAGGCTTTCCTGGGTTCTCTGAGGGAACGACTGAGCTGAGAGAGATGAGAATTGATCCAAAAGCCGCACATTGGTCCAGGAACTGCTTTTGGAGAAGCGGTCGGCGGGTGGGTTGCTTGCAGAGCCGAATATGGAGGATGGAGGCCTCTTCTGTTTTTTTAATTAACAGCCTTGAAGCGCTGAGTGAGACCTGAGGGAGGAGGGCTTGGGGGTGTCGCGGCAGGACACCGGGGTGACCTTGAAGGCTAAAGCTGGAGAAGAGGATGTAGAAATGACTGTTGGGGCACAGTACCTGTGCCGTGGTGCTTCGTGCTCAGCTTGAGGGTTTCTGCTGTGAAAGGCCCACGTATGCTTCTACGTGGCAGCCAAAGTTAATCGGTTTTACTTTGCACTTGGCCTCGGCTGGCAAAACACGCTGGGGCAGTTGCCAGATGGGAACAGTGACAGGTTGTGTCCTTCCTCTCTCGGCGTAAATCATGGCTTAGTCCAGCGATGAGATGGTTTGAGACAGTGATCATCTGAACTGCCTGATAAATGAATGCTTGTCTACATTTACGTCTAAAGAATGCACAGACCAACATCCTTCTTTTGGCTGTTTTCTGTTTCCCACAAAAAGCACACAAAACTCTCTTCATTGACACAAATACTTAAACAGCTTTCTCCTTGGAAAGCCAGAAGACAGTTAGGATTTTTGACATAAATACTGATATTTCTGTGGTTGAAATGTTTTCTTCTGAAGTTCACGTACAGAAAAAAGGCAGAAAGTGATACAAAGCTGTACCTTTACCAGGCTTATAATTAGTCCACAGTGCAGACTTTTCCCTTGTAAGAACCCAGGGCATAGCAGAATTGACTTTTAGAAAGGGAAGATCACTCTTACGTGTCCAGATAAGGGATTCTGCAATTTAGATGCAGTGCAAATTTAGGCAGCAATTGGTTAGGCTCAATTACCTTAGTCTTTCCTTGCTGCATCCATGTGCTTTATTAATTCAATACTACGTTCTTCCTCCCTGGCCAGCAATATATTCTGCTTTAATACCACAAACTCCCAACATTTGTGTCCATTTCAGGGGCATTTTTAAATACTGTCTTTTGTAATAACACTTAACTTTGGTAGCATGCATTTTTGTAATGATCCTGACATCTGGCTTGATTGCCACCCCTTTATATTAGCACGTTAACATGGTTGTCTCTGATACAACGTGCTAACCCTTCAATGATGTATGTTAACAAAGTATTACCACATTTATCAGGAACTTGGGTTTAATTATGCTGCTTCTGCAAGCATTCAAGAAATCGCCAGCCAGAGTTTTAACAGTTGCGTCCAGGGACTTGTATGAAGTGCAGCTTTAACACCAGTGGATAAGGCTGCTCTTCTCCTTTACTTTTTTTTTTTTTTTCCATTTGTGGTTTGGGACCCCAAGAGATACATTTAATTAAGAGTATCCTGAGGGTTATCTTCTGCTTATCCCCCTGGACTGAAACCCATATGGTGAGCGTTAATTAGGTTGGCAAGCATTCGATTAAGCTACGTTGCCAGTATTCTAAATTTAGGACCGTCTGTATCTCCTAATGGCATTGTTAGGAAATGCCCGTAAGCTGTCTGCTCCTGCAATCAAAGACATGATATCCTGTAGCTGAAGGATGGCATCTCCTACAACTAGTATTAGAGGTCTTTGCTGTCTCAGAGAAGCACGCTGTTGTCTCAATTGCAGTATTGAGTTGGCAGGCATGCAAAAATCATGAGTCAGGCCACCAATAATATAATGCTTTTGCGTTTGTGATTTGGCTTATCTTGTGCTTGTGTCCCCCCTGACTCCTTCAGGCTATACTTGGATCATGTTTTCAAGATCTTCTCTGAAATAATGGTGTATTTTTTTAAAGCCCTGTAAAACTAAGAAGAAAATGGCATGCTTCCTAAAGGTGACACTAAATACTTGGAGACTCATGTAAAATTGCAAGCATCAGTAATGCTGCAGCCCCAAACATCAGTTGTTGCAATCTGCATTTCATTTAAAAGTATCCTGCTAAAAAAGACAGTTCTTTGAATGCACATGGTACTTAAAGTAGTAAACTGAATTCTGTCTTAACTTCTCTTAAGGTATTTATGGCCAATTAAAGCTATACCAAGAGGATGGAGCAGGCCAGAATTATATAGGTTTTTACCACAATCTTTTATTAAGTGCCATTTCCAAACGTCTCACCTAAAAGACAAATAGAATTCAAGAGACATGCAACATTGCTTATGAAAAATTAAGCAGTTATCCTTAGAGTTCAATACTGTAAAGCTTGATTTATTTTACACATTTTAATGTGAACAAGAGAACATTGGAGGCAGATCATTTTGTACATTCAGCCAACAGAGGAGCTGTATTCCACAGCATTAAGTTACATTAAGATATACACTGAGAACGTATTAAGTGCTCTGGTGCATCGAAAAGCCACACAGCGTGGAGGCAAGAGATGTCAGTTCACATTTGATAAAGAAGCTGGGAGATGGAGAGTCAAGGAGCTATTCTACCAGTTTAGTAAGAGAGACAGCAGTCAGTTGATTTTTGTGCATTCTTTTTCAGCTCTTGAGGCTGAAAAAAAACTCAGCACATTTGGAAATCTACGTGTGCTCTGCTGTTTTCAGTGCCCTGTCTCCCTCAGGATCAGCCCTGCTTAAAGCAAAGTTTTGACACACACGTCCTAAAGTGTGCTGTACACCAACAGATTATTTTTCATGCTGCAAGAAGGACCAGAACGTGGCATGGGGCTCCTCTCCTTTCACTCTTCATGTGCCATTTAGTTGTAAAAGTTTGCTACAATCTTGGACGTGGCCATTGTCACCTCAGGCCAACAAATATTCTGTAGAAAGTAGAGACTGGAGGGTACAAATAGCTTCCTGCTTTCAGCTCGTAAGCTCTGAACTAGAAGGGAGGTAAGGAGTTTATTTCAATCCTGAGCTATACCCTCCTGCTGTTAGAAAGAGCACAGAAGTCCTATGGTCAGTTTAAACAGATGTTTGGCTCCTAGGGGGCCCTGTTCCTGCCTTCTCAGCAACAGAGAAGGCAGCTGTAAGGCTGTGCTGAAGAGCAGAAAATAAAATCTTTTGGAAGCTTGAGGGAAAGAGCAAGAAAGCGGGAGGACTACGGAAGCTTGAGGGAAAGAGCAAGAAAGCGGGGGGACTACATAAAATAAATAAATAAAAAAAAAAACCCCAACCACATTTTTAAATTCAAGTATTGAACGTAGGCAGCAAGCAGGAGCAAGGTGCAGTCTGGCAGTGCAGTGCTGTGCTCACGGTGGCTAACAAAGACTGGCAAAAATGCAACCCTTACGACATCAGTGCATTGAGTTGAGGGCTGTAGCCCAAGGAACACCTCAGGCTCTGCTGCTGTGGCACAATGGAGTAATCAAACATGTTGTGATTTATGTGCTGCTGAAACAGGCATCACCTCCCTTGGAGGCCTTTGTCAGGAAGTTTTCAAAAGCAAGTCTCGCTGCAGGTAAAGGGAACTGTCATTATTAAGTAGAATTATTTAAACGTTTGCAGACTGTGTAAATAAAACATGGTTATATAAAGCTTTATAGAGCACGACTCTTGCCTTTAGAGTCTTTGAAAGAAAAGGGCCAAAATAGCACAGTATTACAAAAGCTCAGATTATAGCTGGAAGAAATTTCACCCAGAGCAGAAGCCAGCCACGTGCTGACAACTGAGGGGTCTCTGGCAGAGGGGGAGGTCAGGCCAGGAGTCAGTCAGTGCTCAGGCCACAGGGCTGTGGAGAATCTGGGCAGCTTACTGCAAAAAAATCCCTGAATTAGGGCAGAGTGCAGCCCACAGGAGAGAAGTACAACCAGGGGCTCCACTTCAGAGTGGTTCTTTCCCCCTGGCAAAGCACTCTCTGTCTGTCTCTCATGATGTCAGGTCCCAAAACGAGGAGAAAAATTTAACCAGCCATTTACTGACTACAAAGTCTGCACACCAGTCAACAGCAGTTTTTAAATACTACCAGAAAACTAAGAACCAAGAAAACTACGTTCTGTTACACGTAGGACCATCCTAATAGTAGAAATCAACAGCAAAACATTTATGTGCTTCTGATTAATTATTACAGACGTTGCTGTGGTATAAAATAATTAAAGAGAAAATATTGCCATGTAAAAAGGAGAGTTTGCAGCTATGCATGGTTTAGCACAGCTTGTTTTAAAACAGTATGTTTCTGTGGTTTCCGAACTAAGAGGTCAAAACAGCTACTGCCTCATTGATTAAAAGGGAAGAGATAAGAAAAGCCAGTATTCTTGTTCCCTTCCCATTCAGCCTCCCCTGTACTACTTTGTTTTGTATTGTTAATGAACAAAAGCCGCACATAAATTCACAAACAATTGATTACTGAGGATACAAAGGCAAAGGTAGTAAATCAGTGTCACTGCAAGTCCGACAAGATTAATGTTCTGGCAGTATTAGCCCATTAACATTGTTATCTTACTTAAACACAAAAAGTATTGAGGGCAAAAGAAAAGCTGTTCTTTCTTGAGGTTTCATAAACTATAGTGTAGCCACTGATAAGATCTGAATTGTCAGACATGCCAAGTTGGTGAAGCAACTTCACATATAGGTACACGTACAGATGCTAGGCATCTACTCTTTGTGGGAAGGTTATAATTTTTCTAGCTGCACAAAAAATGTCAAAGCAGTCTCAAGTATTTCCAAATTAAATTAGTATTCAGAGCTGGCAAAGCAAACATATGCAAAAGAACAGTTCTGTTGTCATGTACAATAGCAAAAAATCTGGAATAACTATATACAAGTCAGTGGAGTTCTTGGGAATTTTTGGTAGGGGGAACAGAAACTGGCCATAAGTCAATTTTAAAAAAAAAAAATAATTGCAGAAAGCCACTGTTGCAAGTCCAAGATCCTCCCAAATCCCTTGGTGTCAGAGTAACCCCTTAAAAATGCACGGAACACAAGCACTATTTGTTCCAAATAAAGTCTTCTAAGGTCATGGAGACACACCACTATGCAAACAGTCCGAGACACACCAAACAGATTTAAAATTCTGTTTCCCAGGAAAACAAGTGCTTTTAGAGAAGATGGTGATATCAGAGTGCCAGCGTAACTTGCATATGCCAATAAATGTTGTACTTTGTCCTTTCCAGTTGACAAGTTCCACCCCCCCGCCTTGTGTCTATTCTCCCTTCCTATCAGCTTCTAGCCATCTCTCAGAAGCTGGAAAGATATTTATATCATGAGTACACAATGCTCCATTATTCTCACAGTCCTCACTGACTGCTGGACTGTGTATACTTCTTTATTCTTCTTAGGTCATTCACCAATACCCTGTCTTGCTTTATTTAAAGAAAAAAAAAAAAAAAAGGAGGGGGAGTTCAGCCTACTATAACACCTAGGCTGAGCTTTGTAACTAAGGAATGTTGACACCTTTAAGCATTTAAGACCACTAAACAACGTTGGAAATCCTGCCCAAACCAGGAAGAAAATAAAAGTCATAAGAGAATCGTCAAGAACTACAAAAAAACTCCCACCAGACACCAGTCATGTTACTATTTGCATCTCTTCTTGTTCTCGTACTTTACAGTGTTCCCTCTGCACCATTTAATCCAACTTGAAGCTCCTGCTATGAAACCAGAAAACGGGCAAGTGATCTTTGTTCTAAGCTGCCATAAAATCCAGTGGTGCCATAAAACCAATTCACATACTCAGTGCATATGTTCAACACCAGTCAAAGTGGTACAGGAAGTGCCCAAGATTCAGGTTTTGAAGGAAAAAAGTAGCTTGCTTACTGTAACCAAATATTCTGCTCTAAAGACACAGTAAGTTTCAGTATTCGTGCTGAAAACAATTACATTTTATTGCCATGTTAAGGTAATTTGGTGGTCACGCTAGAGACGTGAGCATTTACAACTTCTCTGGAAATCCCTCACAGCCTCTATATATTAAAGATTAAATCCTGCCCTCCCCTCTCTGTGAGAAACTCCTGAAAACTTCTAGTTGGAGACAAACCCACTCCCAGCAGGACTAAAAATTGCACAGTCACTTCTCTTCCCACAGCTCTGAGTTCTCCCAGCATCTGCCATCTCATGGGTTTCACACTGCCATGATTCTGCCCTCACCATTTCATGCTTCCAGACAGCAGCCTTCAACGGAGAACTGGGATTTACTTCTTGCTAAGAGGAATGCTTTCAACTTCACAACGACAGAGGATTGTTTATTTTAATAATCAGCCTTGAAAGTTAAGTTTGAGACGAGCTTTAAACGCTATCAAGGTTGGCTTTACACTTGCTTGTATTTTAATGGGTAAATAAATAAAAGGTCATACTTCTGACAATTCAAATCAGCTCCTTTAAAGGTCACTCACTCCTTTTTGCTGTGCTCCAGCACTCGGTAGGGTGGAGCAGAAACTCCTTTGGAACCGTGTTGCTCCTGCACGATGGGCAATGTGGCTGGAGTATAGATTTCCGGCATGTTGTCGTTGTTCTCTAGGGCACCGTAGGAAAAAGAAGCTTTGAGGTCAGGCTGAACTGCAATCCCTTTATCGTGCATGTTCTGCATGCCTGAAAAGAGCAAAGACAGAGATGAAATGCTTAGGAACAAAAGTGCATTCTTCCTGCACTCTGTTAAATCAGCAAACTCTACAATCTCAGAGTCCGTGATACGCGGCTCATCAGTTCCTTGAGCATTTAATAAAAGACATAATGTTTTTCTGCTTAGCACTAAAGCAACTAATGGAGAAATAAGCTTCAAGTGAATGAGGGATGGCAGTCAGTTATTTATCAAGTGCTGCATATCTTTTATACAGCTCAGAAAGAGGGTTTAGCTGGACTTCCCCGGCCTCTACCTCTCGCAGCACACCTTAGTCCTCCCCAATAATCAGTTCTTCCTCTTGGATAAAGACCAAGCCCAGCCCTAAGCATATGCTCAAAACTAGTTCATCTTCCCAGGTAGCAGCCAACTGGACAAGGCTGTTCTGACAAAATGTGACCTCCCCTGGGTGGCAGAGGACCCAGCATGAGTGGCATCCAAATGGCACATCACCTCTTCTCTGCTCCTTACAAAACACGCACGTACCCCTCACAAGGCACAAACAAGAGAAGGAAAAACTAGAAGGAAAAAAACCCCACAGCTGCCTGATGTATCCAGACACTTAACAGAGCCTAAAGCTTGAGCTTTCACTGTGAAATCCAACCCTTAAAGGAGAAAAAGTGCTAAAACACTGTATTTTTACTGTTACCTGGCATAGCATCCATTGATATGTAAGGTTCAAATGGTACGGATTTCTTCCTATTTCTCGTGATCAGGAAGACACCTAGAAATGCTATGAGGCACCTGAGAGAGAAGAGAAGATCTACTGAGATAACTGAAAAGGAAGAGGAGGTAATATTGCACATTGCTTCTTGTGAGTGCCTATCAAGGAGCACCACAAAGAACTCAGAACCAGAAATGAAAGTGCTGTGAAGTGAGAAATACAGAGAGCTGTCTCAGCTGAATAACCCTCTTCAACAGTACCGAAATCCACCCAGCAATGAGAGCAATTTCACCTTTTCTTTATCAAAAGGCAGGGCCAAGTTTTCACATTAATTAATGAATTAACCTTGACGAACTAAAGGCGAAAGGGAGCATATCAAAAGTTGGTTTTCTTTGATGAAATTCCAGGATTTAGCAGCCTGACCTTTGAAAGGTTTCCCACAGGTGAAAACAACTAACAACTGTCGATCTTGATTTTTACAGGATGTTGACAGAGAAAGGCGCAGTTCATAACATTAATCTCCCAATTGTTTGGGTTTTTTTTCCCTGTCTTTCTAAAAGACATTGCAGAATGTCCCCTGATTACGGAGAGCTAATCACATCAAGACACTGTATTAGGACTAACTACTGAGTTACACAGCAAACGTTTTACTGATCATATCTGCATCGTGTGAGTGCCCCTGCCCTAAGAAACAGGACTCCAGAAATCCAGTCACAGTTCAGTGAAGGTTTGGAGCAAAACCTGATATATCCCTAAAGATGGCTTCTTTTGGTTATTCTGCAATTCTGCTAGATTCATAGGCAGTTAGCTTGAAAAACAGCACATAAGCTTTGACATCCATTTAGTGTTTAATACTGTAGAATTACACATAACCTGGCATTACACAATTCCTCTAGAGCATCCAGCATCACTCAGACAAGATACCGAGCTCTATGGGCCATTGTCTTACAGAGAAAAGTGCTTTCAGTATTTCCTCCTCTCCAAGAATGTAGGGAGATCATTACACAATTCCTCTAGAGCATCCAGCATGACTCAGACAAGATACTGAGCAATATGGGCCATTGTCTTACAGAGAAAAGTGCTTTCAGTATTTCCTCCTCTCCAAGAATGTAGGGAGATAATATATATGGAGAGGTAGATAGGTATTTTGAAAATTTTAGTCATATGAAGACATACTTTCCAGTTTTAAACACTTACCCAAGTGCAAACATACATATATGGAGAACATCTTCACCGGTGAAGTCCAAGTAAAAAGTTGCTCCTTGAAAAGGAAATAATACATGACATATTTCTTTCCAGCTTACGTGAGCAATTAATGCTGCATCTTCAGCACTAGTCCCTCCAGCAACCAAATCATGTAAGATTCCTATTTTTATAGTCAGTACCTTTGGTTCTTTAGTGATCTTAAAATAGAAGAAGGTGGCCTAATTTCCACTTTAATACAATTTATTGACAAACGCTTTAGAATTTCACTACCAAAATAGTTGTACTGGTGTAACTAATAGAGATGCAAGTAAATCTGTGAATCAGCACAGCAACTGGCACAAATATTTCCACCTTGGGGTAAGTGGCTGTGAAGGAAATATTGCTGGAATTATTGCAGGAAATCTTGCTAATAAAGCCTGAGCCAAAATCTCACCACGTGGCAGTGGTTACTGTATAAACAAGAGAGACTGCATTTCTGAAGTCTGAATGACAAACCAAATCAGCTCTCTCTAACTACAACAGGATACAAACTCTTGACCCCAAACAAGTATATACAGCTCAAACCTATAAGATGACAAGTGTCCTGGATGTCAACAGGACATGGATTCTGGCTCCTACTCTTTACATTTCTAATTGAAGTAAAGTAAATAAGCTGATGGATCTGAGAGCAGCATATGGCTTGGAACACGACAGGAAACAAACATTAGCTAAAGAGTAGGACATACTTTCTCATGACATTGAAGAAGAGCATTAAAAGGCAATGTGTAATTTACAGGTGAAGCTATCACCCTTATATACCTAGAAGAGCATTATTATTTACACAGTATCCATCACTGTCGAGGAGACACACTTCCTCTGGTGTGGGGTTGTGTGTTTTGGTTGGTTGGTTGGGGTTTTTTTCCCCCTCCAGTTTTGCTTGTATGTCTAATGAGAACAAAACCTTAAAAAAGCTGCTCATCAGGTTTGAAGCGAAAGGGGTTGAAAATGCTCATCTTTGTTCACACAGACAAAGCTTTTCCCATGTGGGCAAGGGCTGAAATTGGAGTAAACTGTTCAGAAAGGAAAGTGCCTCTAAAGCTGTGAGCAGCTGCATTCTAGATATAATGCAAACAAGGCTATCAGGAAGAGAACTGTAATACCTTTGTACAGAGGAAACAAACACGTTCATACACTCCATCACATACATTTTGACAAAATCTGGATAAAGTTACCCAAGGAGAAATTTTAGCTGTCTATTCAAGTTGCACAGCTAAGAGCACACATCACCCTCTTCTACACACTAGCGTGGTATGAGTAATTTGCACAGCTAAGAGCACACATCACCCTCTTGTAGCATGGTATGAGTAACACAGTCCCAAAGCAGTCTCTAAGTTCCCATGCACTTTAAACAAAATGACAGAACTTAAAATTTTCTGTTAACACAGTCTAATGGGATAATTCACATTTTTTGAAAGAAAAAAAAGGGAAGAAAGCCAGCTGCAGAAGAGGGATGACAAGAAAATACAAGTCATCCTCTTGCTGAGTATTCAACCTTCCTCATCTGTAAGTAAGGATTAATCTTCCAAAAATCTTTTGTCCTTCTTTTAGAAAGGACCAACACAGTTTTGTGCGCTTTTTGTCCTTCTTTTAGAAAGGACCAACACACTGTTTTGTGGGCGATTACCTGCAGTGATTGCTGCTGTGGTGGACAGGATGTAGCCGATGCTGGCAATCTGAGATGAGTCATACAGCTGGGAGGCTTGAGCTAAAAACCTGCAATACAATGACAGACAACAGGGGTTGATTTGGGAAGGATACTTAAATTGTATAGCAGTTATTGTGGACCAGTATAGGTGTCCTTTTTGGAAGCACCTCTCTAATGTGAGGCATAAAGTTAGAGAATAAAGTTTCTTTTCTCATTAAACCTGCAGCAGCATCCCTTGGAATTAATATAAATGATAGAAGAGGAAGCCTTGTGGATATACTGACAAAAAGGAGTTAAATTACTGCCACTGGCTGGAATGTCATTCACATTTTGAATAGCTTTTTATCCTTGCTGCTACTAATTTTGTACGTTATTACAAGTACAAATCAAAAAAATTTAAAAATAGACACATCATTGACCACACTGATTCTGCACTTTGGTTTTAGCCACTACACAGACACTGTATTTGATTTGCCACCATTTCATTCCTAACATTGTTTTCTAAATACTTGAATGATGTACAAATTTGGGATTAAAACTACTTGGCAGTGTCACTACATGGAAAAGTAAAGAACACCACTATTCCAGGCTCCTGCGACATGGGTTTGAGGACAGGTCACAGAAGAGAATGGGTAATTCTTCTCCTAAAATTTAATCAGCATTCTTGGCATGGATAACGAACAGCCCACTAATTACTGACCCACTGAAACTAGCACAAATGTAGACAAAAAGAGAGTGAATGTCTTACGTTGCCTGATAGATGGCTGTAGCAATCATGCACACCAACATGATATAAAATATAGGGTAGTCGAGTTGCAGGTTTCCTTGTATGGAGACAACAATCATTCCTGCCACAGCCTTCACCGTCACAACAGTCATGGAACCTGCAAACGTTTACCCAGACTCAGCTGTAGGTTGGTTAATAAAGCCAAGGAAGTTTTCAAAACAAGAACCAGAAAGAGCCTCCTTCCTCTCCATTTCTTGAAAGCACAAGTCAGTGCCATTCAGAATGAGGAGAGTTGCTTTGTCTATGATTCACGCAGCCTCTGAGGCAGCGCTGAGGCATCAAGCTCCAAACAGTTCAAACAAAAGAAAAAGACAAGAGAACTGCCGTGACTGAAGTTGCATAAATAGAAAAAATTGAGGACTGTGACATAGATTCAACAGCACATCAGACTGCGTCACTGCCTTGCTCTTATTCACCTTTCTTTAAAGTTTAATTATCACAGTTTCTTAAAAAAAAGCAGATTAACATGGAGAATGGCACAAGGGAAATCCTGGCCTTTCCAAAGTCACTGCAGGATGCCACTGTAGGCAACGAGGATACCAAAAGCATCATTTGACCCCACACCCAGAGGCTCTCCCAAATTCAGTAGGGACATACTGGCACCAGCAGAGTATTTATCATTTCTTTAGCCACACAGCAAATCCTCCCAGAGCCAAGAAGACTCTCATAGGCCAAATCCTGTCTTTCATCCACTGAATGAGCCTTCCTTATCCATTGAATAAATAAGATATTGTACCATGCCTTGCATGCACAGATTAAAATTAAGAACACTAATAAAGAGCTTGCACTTTCTTACAGGTCCGTATCAACTCACCCAGCAAAGCTACCAGCAGAAGAATAACTACAATGTAGTTTGCATTTTTCTCCTTATAAAAATATAGTAGCAGGCAGAATACGATGATCTCCACAAGCTACAAAAGACAGAAATAAGAATATTAAAAATGTGTGCTATAGGGTGTTGGCAGTAAATGGGATTCTGAGCCAGTCAAACATTAGAATTACACAATAGGGCAAATCAAATGAAAATGAGGATCCCACGCAATTATAGATCAAATTTAGCATGATCTTAGATTTTAATTAGATGAGATATTCAATAGCTTCTTGCAGAACAGGAAACATGGGACACCTTTTGACATTACATTCATGGTAAAGCAGCAGATCAAATAATCCTGACTGAATATTCACATCAGAGATCTCAGCCCACTTTCTGTAATGAGGTTCTTTAAGTGATCCTGGCAGCACAATTTAACAGTCTAACTTATCTCCATTAAAAAAAACAATAGATTTCATAAGATTTTCAATGAGAGGTTGATGGCTCCAGAGAAGGTCAGTCTAGAAAAAGCCCAGATGCAAACACAGTATTTGGACACCTCTGGATCAGCCACTCTCAGCTGCCATCAGGCTGGAGCTGACAGGTCAGGGAGAGAGCAAGCTATTTTAAAACTTCTCAGTTAAAGATATTTAAGTCCTAAACAGAATAATTCAGAGCAAGAATGGGAGAGTTCCATATTGTGCATGCACATGTCCACATGCAATGTGGAACTGACACCAGGAAAAGCTGGCATAGGTTCATTAGCACATACAGGGATATTGCTAGTAACCCTAAGGAAAAATAATGCTTGAAATGAAACTCCCAGTCAGGCACAGAGCAAAAACTATCCCACATTTTATGGGCCATCTTACCATATACAGCAGAAATGGCCAGCTCACTAAATGCCTAGTGATATTTTCTCCTGTCATCTTCTCATGACTATTAGGTCCAAATGTTATCAGCAGATAAGTTCCAACAATTGCCAAACCACAGCCTACAAAGGACAAAACGTAGCGCCCTTCGGCAACCAAAGGACAAAAACAAAAAAAAAGAGAGAGGACAAAGTTAGTGGGTTAGTGTGGATGTATTTAATATCACACATGCAGAGTGATCATTAATGACATCATGCACATTCCTCTGAATGACTCATGCCTCTGCCCTTCAGGCCCCGCTTTGAAAATATTAGCACCAAATATACCCTAGGCAATGTGTGTGCTGTGAGCTGAGAAAAAAAAAAAGCTCATACCAGGTAGCATCTGCTAAACAAACAGGAAAGACAAGTTCTGTATCTAGGGCTTACCCTGCCTGGCGCTGCCCACAGCCCATCTTCTAGGAAATGAAAGAACAAATGCCCCAGTTCTGCGAACACTTCACAGGTACGAAATTCGGCTGATTCAGTTGTGCCTACACTAGTGTGAAGTCAACGCCTTTAGGCTGCAGCTTCAGCCCAGAGAACCACGATTCTCAAATCCTGCAAACACCATTTGCACGTATTTCTAAAACTCGTGAAATTCAGATGATTTTGCACAGGAGCTTCAAGTTCTGTATCTAGGGCTTACCCTGCCTGGCGCTGCCCACAGCCCATCTTCTAGGAAATGAAAGAACAAATGCCCCAGTTCTGCGAACACTTCACAGGTACGAAATTCGGCTGATTCAGTTGTGCCTACACTAGTGTGAAGTCAACGCCTTTAGGCTGCAGCTTCAGCCCAGAGAACCACGATTCTCAAATCCTGCAAACACCATTTGCACGTATTTCTAAAACTCGTGAAATTCAGATGATTTTGCACAAGTCAGAAACAAACAACTTAAAAAAAAATAAATACATTTTTAACAAACAGTGGATGAGATGACACATTTCTTCAAAGAGGTACCATAGCTAATGGAGATGTTGCCAACCCTCTAATTATGATTCTCCAGAGGGCATGCTGTGTGTTGAACAGCTTGTAAACAGAGAGGAAAAATAAAAAAAGAACTGTGGAACTTACTCAAAAAATCCTTGGGCTTCCATTTTTCTTTAATAAATATAATTCCAATGATTGCACTAGCTATAAAAAAAAAAAAAAGGAGAGAGAATCATTGAGTTACAATTAGCAATCTGACACTGGAAAGCACCCAGACTTGTGTGGCTGTTGCCTCTGTCCCCCTTACCTATGACAGACACTGCACTGAGCGGCACAATCAGTGAAAGAGGAGCAAAGGCATAAGAGGAAAACACTCCCAGTTCACCCAGCACCAGCAGGAACAGTCCACACCACCACGTCTTGGTTTTGAAGTAGGCTCGGGGGTCTTTGGAACCTGCCAGCCGGATGTGGCTGTATTTCTAGAAAAGAAAATAAAGGCAAAGAGTCCTTGGCGTGCTTGATGCTTTTTAACACAGGATACTTGAGGCAGGATAAATATTTGCTTCGTGATACTCACCTGGAGGTTGAGTGCAATACTGATAACAAGATGCCCAAAAATAGCTAGTAACGCACCAATCAAGTTCTCCTGTAAAAACAAAGCAAACACACAGATATTAAATTTGGCCACTGGACCCTGAAGGAAATGGGAGCTTTTTGCATAACCTGGAAGAGAGCAGACTTTTAAAAACAGTTCCTAGATCACCTGACAATAAAACCCTCTGTTTATCTTCCTCCCTTTCTACGTGAGCTAGGGCAATTCAGGCAAGCTCCCCATGGCTACATTCCAAATCTGTGAAACTCAGGTGAAAGATAACCCTTCCTTTAACAGACACTTTCTATGAGAGACTTGAATTAGTGTGCATATATTTGCCTTCTTTGCAGCTTCTCAGAGAAGAAGATAAAGCTAAACACAACCCATTTGCTCATTCTTCCCTTTGAAAAACTCTTTTCATGAGCATGTTTGTTGCCCTGGAACTCAGCAGAGGATGGATCAAGAACCTCTGCATTCTGTGGGTCATATCTTAAGAACTATTCTGCTCTTCTCCATGTATAACATCTGTTGGCTCTGTAGGTAATTGAGCCCATTTGATGAGATGTCCCAATTATCACAGATTTTGTGCTGCTTTTTATATGAATCAGTTATTCCAAAGTAAGAAGCAACTGGTAGCAACTCCCAGGAAGCTCACAACCCCTTCTACATTAACACTCCCAGCTCAGCAATAATTCTCACGGTCTGAAGACAGAATTTGAAATAAAAAGAAGATGTAAAGCAGGCTGAGTCACAAAGGAAATGTACATTAGGAGTGAACAGAAGAGCCTGAGGCTACGCCAGGCTATTTAGCATTTGTGTTCTTCCAACAACTATCTAAATCTCATTAGATGTCATTAGCACTTTCATTTCAGTGCAGGTCTCCAAGATACAGTGGAGTACTGGCTGTGAGTGATTTGGGATAACTGAGCTCACATTCCTGTTCCTCCCTTAACAGTATATATACTATTATTGATTTTTCTTATAAATAGTAAAGTGAGGAATTTAAGATTTCAAGTTCTTATCAGCGGAACAAAAATCTCTTTATCAGGATGTACATAAATAAGATTCACCTGAGCAGCTTAATTCAGAACCACTTGAGAGACCTTCCCACGACAGACAGTAAAGCTGGCAGAAAAACATCACTGTGCGATCGCAGATGTAGCCAGAGGAGCTCAGCACAGTTTACTGCTCCAGCAATGGACTCCAGTTTAAAAACACAGAGGAGATGGTGCCTCAGCTGAAAAGCCTCTAAGGGCAGCACAGGTTTGGGACTGGCTTCTGGGCTGTGAGAGTCTGTAGGCCAACCCCACCCTGGTCAACTTTTATAACACCCTGGGACTGCATTCTCAGGAAAAGTACTTTTTCCAGTGAAAAAAAAAAAAGCCCTTCTTGCTGA